GGCAGCCTTTTGTCACTTTTTGCATGTGGACGGCTCCATCCGTTGTAGCTTCAATTCGTTTTTCACTCAGGTAGCTCTAGATCAAATCACAAAGTTTTGGCACAATTGATATCTTTGAGGCATTTCATAACATCATGCCACCACAACGAATCGAAGGCACCTTGAATGTCTGTGCTGATGAGTAAACAGTATGCAGTTTATTCTGCTTGTTTCTAAGTGCCGTGTTCCGTAGGTGATTCAGTATGTGATCCGCTGACTTTCCTGCTATAAAGCCATATTGCCTAGTAGTTATGAGTTTATTAACATGAATGTAAAAATTCAGTCTTTGAAGTACTATTCTTTCGAGGATTTTTTTTCATGGCTGGGAGCAGGCAGATGGGCCTATAAGAAGCAGCCTCGTTTGGATCTTTATTTCCCTTTAGGAAGAGAGCAACTTCTGTTATTTTTGTGCTTTCTGGAAAGCGGCGAATTCTCCAGCATGTCTGTAAATTGGAGAAAAGTATTGCCGGATATGTGTTATGCATATTTCTGAGAATGCCGTTATCAAGCCCATCCGGACCTGGAGCTTTACCTGGATTGAGCTTCTTGATTACGTCATTCAGTTCCTTACTTGTGGATGAGGTCAGAATCAGCAATGGACGAAGTATAAAATATTGTTCAATACTAGTTCGTATTTCCTTCTGAGCTGTAGTGTCTTTATGGGATCATCATGCTGAAAAATCGTTTCCAGTATATGTATCACTATCTGGGAACTAGTGTTGGCATTCTGAAAGATTGACGTAGTTAGACTGGTAGGTTTGAAGACCTTATCATGAGCAACTTTGAATAGTCTACCAAATGTTTCTGTTGCGTTCGTTCCGTTGCGCAGAACTAGAGTAGTTGCCTGCATTATCAGTATCACTATCGCTGGTACAGGTAGAATATTTCGTAAGTGCACATGTGTACCGCAACTGAACTAGAACCTTCTAGAATTCTAGAATGGACCAGTCGGCTTCCAGTAATATTTCTATCATTTCACAGGACTTTTGCTGCGCTTTAAGCAAGATGGTTAAAAATGTTTTACCACGCAATTTCCTGTGCAAAATAATTAAAGCATCGTGGATTTCTTTTGAAAATTTTCAGTGCGAAGTTAAATAAAACATAAGCATAATTATATATGTAAACAGTAACAGGCTCAGTACTTTTTTTATTGCAGTCTATATAAAAAAGATAATAGTAAATGTGCAGTACATAATAATATCCAGTGCACAATTTTATTCTTTTTCTAGTTATGTTGAAATTATTCTTGGGGTAACTGGAGTTGTTTACACTTAGTGACTTTCGACTCTCATGCTGAAGCAGCATGTTTGAAAAAATCGTACATTAATTATTCTTTATAAGTAAACTTTATAAGTAAACTTTCCGAATTTGCTTTCGTACACATTTAGGGCGTTAAATTTCATATTAATAACTGTTCATTCTTAAATGTATCGCCTGCAGAAGAAATATTCTTTAAACAGAATGAATTTATCTTATTGAAGACGAATAAATTCAAGAAAATAGTAGATTCATTGTAACACTTCCAGTTACTCTCAGCTCAATTAAAAGAATACACTTGAATTCTCTTAATCCACAGGTAAATGCATAATATTCGAGGCTAATTGTAGTTTCTGTCATTTTCTCGATATGAAGAGCGATAATATGCTACAGCCGAATATCAGTACGTGATAAATTTCGCGAAAGTCAAATGTTGACGAATAAATAAACTTATACAATGAGAGATTACGAAATCTACTAAAATAATAGCAGCATTCATATATCATACATTTTTTGTTATAACTGAAAAAAAAAAAGCAAAATAAAATGTTAGCAACAACATGCTCTCATATGCACAGTTTCAAAGATTCACCTTCACAATAGAAGCTTATTGGTAGATTTTTTGAAACTCTTCTTTCACAAGTGCGATACTGATGTGCACTTGTGAAATTATGCTTATGGATACTCAACAACAATGGATTTTATACTCGACCGTTAAGCGCCGCATTGTTATGTTACGCGCTCTTTGGCGTTCCCTTTTGTTTGTATATGCCTATTTCTAATCATTCGTGCGATTAGAATAATAAGCCACTTTCCTGATTTTTATTCCCTTTAAATACCCTAATTTTCCAAAAATTATGCAACGAATATCTTCCTAAGGCCTAGATCTTTGCCAAGTATAAGTTCCTCATGTTGCATAAATTTATTAAACTTTTACATCCTATGAAAGAATTCCACTTATGAACTTTACAAACTGTAACAATCTGCTCCAACATAGCATTTTAAGTACCTTTTTTAAAAATTATGTTGATTTCTTGTCAAAATATTTTTCTATTGTTCCAGGTCTTGCATTTTTATGTCTTAAGTTCTCAGATTCTTACTCACAGTTTCTCTGATATTGTATGATTATGTTTATCTGTTATTTTTGTTACATCAAAACAAATGTTCTCAGTTTAATTGGGAAATATTAATTTGCACTGAAATTGTACTGTAATCTCTTTATGCTCTAAATCGTTTTTTTTTAATAATTAATGGATGCGGGGTGTAAGGTGAAATTATACGATGTGCTATAACAGGTAAACTTTAGATCCTTTGGACAGCTTCAGACGCTATCTCCTCAACCTTTCTTTATGAACTCTTATAAAGCTCAGAATGAATTAAATTTTTTTTATGGTTAGTTAGTATGGAAAGGCATTGCCAGTTAACCCATGGTACATTGCTGGTGTCTCCCATAACTTTTACCTGTACCTGTCCCTGCGAAACAAAATTCTAGCTTGTTCCTGGAGAAAATACAATAATTTCTTTTTGAATACTGAATAATCCCCTGGGATGCCTTTGCACACAAAGTTTTTAACTCACATATAACCAACTATAGTTATGCATTCCAAAATTGATTGCAATTAATAATGTTGCTTCGGAGTAACATTTTGAGGAAGTTTTTGTGATTTGCTTCTAAAGATTTACCTATAATTTGAGCAGCAATAGCAATTTGAAAATTATGTTTCCATTAGATTTTATATTGACGAATATAATATGGCCTCCTATAAGGCACAGGCACCTCTACATCGTTATAAATATTTCCTACAAAAAATACGGGTTGACATATAAGATGGCACCCCATTTAAGCTAGTTATGTTAAAATTATTCTTGGGGTAACTGGAGTTGGTTACACATAACAACTTTCGACTCTCATGCTGATTGGATTAGATTGGATTATTTAATTCTGGCAAAGCACACTAGGGCTATCTGCCTAAAGGGAGGGATGCCTTCGTGGAGGACTTTCTAAGGGAAACTGGCTCGTATACACGTTACACATGGGGAAAACCACGAAAACGCCCATGCAGCTAGCCCGTTCGCGGGATTCTAACCTCGGACCGAACTACCAGTGTTCAGCGTCTCTACCGCTCGGCCACTGGTGGGCCATACTCTCATGCTGAAACAGCACGTTTGAAAAAATCGTACACTAATTATTCGCAACAGTGCGCAACATTACGCAAGAGCTACAGTAATAGATCGGTTGCATCTCATTTCTGTGGCTTCTCCCATAAGTGGTGGTGGTGTACTTAATTATGGCTAAGCACATTAAGGCTATCTGCTTAAGGGGAGGGATGCCTTCGTGGAGGACTTTCTAAGGGAAACTGGCTCGTTACACGTTACACATGAGGAAAACCACGAAAACACCCATGCAGCCAGCCCGTTCGCCGGATTCGAACCTCGGACCGAACTAGCAGTGTTCAGCGACTTTACCGCTCGGCCGCTGGTGGGCTCTCCCATATGTAACACAAACACGAAACAATACCGCTTAGAAAGTCGTTTAGAAAGATATCTCTATATTTAAACAGATAATCTTGGGGAGATTCACCATATTCACTAATTTTCTGGTCTCAAAAATTCTGCGAGTGATGTTTTACCTTGCTTGTCTGACAAAGCACTGGCCAGTGGCCGAATGGATAAGATCGTTGAAAATGATATTTTGTCTTACTAGTCTTTAAGTCATACGTCGGTGCTCAAGGCTTTTGCCAACGGTAGGCGCAAACATGGTCTTCTTGCCATGATGAATTTCGTGGACTTGTTCTGATGGTACTGTCAAACAAATGAGATAAGTCAGAAGAACTTTAATAGTAATTGGTATATAAAAAGAAGAGGGACGATCACTGGCGTTTCTTTGCATATTACATATGTTCTACGTGTGCCCACTGGTTACAATGCATGTCCGCAACTTTAGAGTAGCTTTCTTCTGTCATTGGTCATCATTGTAATACTGTAGAGTTTTCGAAGCGTTGGCAGTGTTCTTGGCGCTAGAGGAATGTACTAAATAGCATTTCTTACCATACCCGCCCCAGATTGAAGAATTTTTATTACAGATATGGATGAAAAACATTCTTCACCTCTTTGGTAATTGCCAGTGGAACACACACAAAGCATTTATAGCAAACCTAGCAAGTTTCTAGTTTCTTTTTATGCATTATGTAAATATCTTAAAAAATACATGTTTTGAAATATTAATAGTATTTAAGAAATATTTAATACATTTACATTAAATAAATATTTTAACAAATACTGTAAATATTTTAAGGCAATTGTTTAAGTTATAAGGTTTTTCTCCCACTTTTCTAGCGTCCTTCGTGGTGTAGTGGTTCTGCACACTGAGCCGGTATTTCAGAGGTCCGTGGTTCAATTCCCGGCGAAGGCGTTTGATATTTTTCATCTTTTCTGGCTTCCGAAAAATCCTAATGTCTCTACAAGTGGCGCTCGAACTAAAAGGGTTGTGGATGATGATTCTCTGCACCCAGGATTTGGCGACTAGGTCCCCTAAAACGCTAGTCGCCCTTTAAAAAGGGCAGCATATAAGGTATTTCTCCCACTTTCCTAGCGTCCTTCGTGGTGTAGTAGTTCTGCACACTGAGCCGGTATTTCAGAGGTTCGTGGTTCGATTCCCGGCGAAGGCGTTTGCTATTTTTCATCTTTTCTGGCTTCCGAAAAATCCTAATGTCTCTACAAAGTAATAAAGTGTTTTGAAATTTGAAAACTTTTTATATTAGAGCTGTATTTCTTGAATGATTGGTTTTAGGAAATAGGCCAATAATTCCATTAAGAAGCGAATGAAATAGTGTAGACTATGATCATTTTGTTTACATGACTTTTTTAAATAAATGTATATGGAAATATTAATTTTTTACCAGCCCTCAAAGAAGTTTGCTACGAATGAGTTGTTTTTAACTTACTAAATATCAATTAAGGAGGGACGAATGAATTTAATATGTGAAACTGGCTCCGTAAAAATTCTCAGAATCGCATAATTTGTCCTGAAAAAAACCGTTCAGGTGACACTTCGTCTTGCAAACTTTTGAAATATTTTACATTTATGGCATGTATATAATCAGAAAAAATGGTGAAGATTTAATAATTGCATTTTGTATTAATATAATCATTCACTTTATCATATTTTTATAATCTAAATCTGCATATAATATTTTACAAATATTTCCGTAAAGTTTGTTAGGAATTTAATTATTTTGAATCATTATTTGAAATAATTTTTAAGTATATTATATCACGTATTTTCATTTTATTTTAGGATAATGTTTCTTATTTCTCTGTTTTTTACTATTAATGCTAAATAGTTCGGATATCAGAATTTCTAAAATCAGTACTGTAGTACATATTCCCAAACAGATGCTCAGAAAGTAGAAAGCTCCTTGTAAGTCGTCCATAGAAAGAGCTCGTACATTTTCTATTTTTACCAGTGGTGCTTGTATGCTTGCTTTGGTAAAAGCGTCGACATACCATTTGCTGAAGAATCCTGTTTCTTCCAGTCTGTCTATTCTGCAGAGAAAGAAAAAAAAATTGTTATTATGTGTGGATATTATAAAATGCTATGCAAATAGAATTTTACAGATATTTATTTATTTATTAGAAATATTAATAAATTTTTAATATATATGTACACCTTATATACAAAAGAAGTCCTTTCCCCAGCCTTTATTTTCGCAACCGTTGGTCGTAGATATGTTAACGGTGAAACACCGAAATCTGGAGAATGTCGACTTTCACCGGTGAATGTCAACATTCACATAGTCGCTTGGTGTATGTCCGAAATATTTTCCAAATACTCTTATTTCTGACTTACACCGGTAAATGTCGATATTCACCATGTGCTAATGGTGAAAGTTGAACATATAAGAATATTATATTTTCTTCTCCGTAATTCAGTCTCGAAAAAAAGCACTTGAGACTAAAACGAGAACTTAAGAATATAAGAACTTAAAACACACAGTACATTCAAAATGAGAAAGGAAAATAATAGAAGTTAAAAACTTACTAAATTATGTGATTCAAATCTTATTTACTGCAACAACTTAAACTATTAGGACACTTTGAATTGCACAAGAGGTCCTTGTTTTTACAACTGCATTTATTTGTGGAACACTTCCTTTTGCAATGACAGCACGTACATATACTCCTCTCTTTTCGACCTACACCAGAGCATATCTTTGATTGTCGACATATACCGGTGAGGGTCCGAATGTACAAGAATGTAATGCAATATTCGATCTTTCACCAAACGTATTTGGTGAATGTTGACATTCTCCGGTGAAAGTCGACATTCTCCAATTTCGGTCTTTCACGGTAACAGATGTATACTTCCAGTTACAAGAACGTTTTAAATGGCGCAAATATTCGTGTTTTGGCCTTTTAAATTTAAAGAAAACAATTTTGTAAAAATTACGAAACCTAACTTTCTACACATCCCTCCGGTACTTACATTTATGAAAAGTATGCACTTGTTATATGAAACAAAATACGAAAAGTGTTTATACGAGAAATGTATAAATTTTTCTTGTCCTAAATATATTGTTACGGTTTTTGTATTGATTTATTTATTTTGCTATTTTTAATAGAATTATTATTAAATTGTTTCATTTCCCTGACTTATTTGAAGAGAAAGCTGCGCCGGGAAAATTAAAAGTACAGGAGCACGCGCATTTAATAAATAAATATCTCGTAATTGTACGCTTTTGCTTTGCGGGAAAAATCGAGAAAATACCAGACTATGCTTGTGCAGATTAAAAAGCGTATAAAAGCCAGAGAAAGAACATCTCAGTTCAGTTGTTTTATGAGTTTTGTTTAGAAAGCTGTTGTTGTTTACTGTAGCGAATTCGCGGTGAAATCGAATTAGCTTTCTATGTTTTGAATTAGTTCTATTGAACACTTTGTAAACTATAAATCTTTTGAAAAAGATAACTACTTTGAGGTATTGCCATATTGCAAGCAATATCTGAGGAAATTTAAGCATTTTGCCCATATTTGTTGTGATAAAAATAAATTTTATTCACTTTTCATCGGACTTGTGCCTTCAATTTATTACGAACCCGTATGCACTCAACAATATTATTCTAGTTCCTTAAATCAAAATTTCAAAATCGTTATAGCTTGAGTGATTTCTGTCAAAATTCTAATGTTTACAGACTTAAAATTTTTTAAGTCTCAAAGCACATGTCTGCGATCTTAACATCATGCGATAGTTTGTAAATGCTTTAACTTTTATTACAATACTTTTTATAACGACGTTTTAAAATTGGTAAGTTACCGCTTTATTTTCTACGACGATGTTTTGTATCACAGTGTTTTCTCCTTGCTTTCTTTTCTCCCACTATATTTTGTACGACTTTATTTTTCCCTTGAGTTGTTTTTACTGCAACGTTTTTCAGCTGCAACCGGAAAGAAATACTAGAAATTCTTGATGCTTTTATCGAGTAAACGCTAAATCTTATGAAACCTATTCCACGAAGAGATCTGCGTCAGATAAATCGTTCTTTTGAAATAAACTGCTCAAAACAATTAAAGGAATTGTAAGTTTCATATAAAATAAAGATATAAGCGAATTTTTTTTGCCGAAAAATGGAAGAAGAGAATCACAAATGACACTAATTTTCAGTTCGACGTCAAAAACGTCGCTTCAGCGGCAGCGAATGAAATTTGACTTTCGACTGAAGAAAAGACAATGAAGACAAGGATGATCGGCATTCAGTGATTGCTTTGTTTTGATGAGTACGATGTCTCAGCGAAGTCATTTAACCGATTCAGAAGCTTGGAGAGTTGTTGGTAGGTTAGAAGAGGGTCAAACTCAAGCCGAAGTAGCGCAAGCCATTGGAGTATCACAAAGTGTGATTTCCAAGATCTGGAACCGTGTTTTGGAAACTGGAAGTGCAGGCCGAAGACCAGGGCAAGGTCATAGACGGGCAACAACGCCCAATGAAAATCGTTATTTAGTGTTAACGGCTCGGAGACACCGAAATATGAATACTACTCTTCTCCAACAACACCTTCACTCGGCTACTGGCACCACGGTTTCAACTCAGACTGTCCGAAACCGGCTCCATGGTGTAGGTTTGTATGCTCGCCGACCGATGGTATGTGTTAGACTAACATCAAGGCATCGTCGCGACCGCAGGGAGTGGGCAACAGAGCATGTGAACTGGAGGAGAAATGAATGGAGCAATGTTATTTTTTTCTCACGAGTCCTGCTTTTCTGTTCATCCCGATAATAGGCGTATTTTCATCTGGAGGGACCGTGGCAGTAGGAATAATCCTGCGTTCGTGCACGAAAGTGTCAGATTTGGCGGTGGGGGAGTGTTGGTGTATGGTAACATCTCCATTGACGGGCGCACAGACCTCTACATCATTCGAGATGGACCTCTGACTGGTCGCCGATATAGGAATGAGATCCTCAGACCTATTGTAGTCCCTTACGCTGCAGCAATCGGAGATGACTTCATTTTAATGGACGATAACTGCACGCCACATCGTGCTAACCTGGTGGAGGATTTCCTTTTCGAGGAAGGAATCGTACGAATGGAATGGCCAGCGTGTTCTCGAGACATGAATACAATAGAGCACGTTTGGGACGCTCTAGGGATACGAGTTGCTGGCCTCCAACCACCCCCACAAACTCTCCAAGAACTGGAAAGAGCTCTTCTGGAAGAGTGGGACAGAATACCCCAACTTGTAATTAATAGCCTCATTGACTCCATGCCTCAAAGGTATTCAACGTTGCTGGCCGTCCGTGGAAACCATACCCCCTACTGAAAATGATTTCCTTTGAAGAAAACACCTTTTCTTATTTTTTTATCATATGCACAAATTGTGTTTTTTTCCTTTTGTACACAAATGCGCAATAAAATGCATTTTTTTTCTGCTAAACATGTGTAATTTATTCTCATATAACCTACTACGTCTGTCGACTATGTATCAATCAGCTAAAATGTTTCCAAGCCACAAGATCCACCTAAAACCGCAATATCCTTTAATTGTTTTAAGCAGTATACATGATGAACTTCATTAAAATCAGCGTCATTCCTAAAGTTGAATTTTTTACAATCACTTTTATTTAACATTACTTAAACTTTTGTGCTACTTACATGTGATCGAAGCTATTTTTACAAGGATGGCATTTCTGAATTCCAATTCCTATAGCCTCGGTACTAAATACATCTTTAGCAAGGCGAAATCTGTCAAAACCCGTAACGGCGGCAAACCATTTAAGAACCATTTTCATATACACAAATGCATATCTTCCTTTCAACACTAGATCCATGCCTTCTGATACATTATGAACTAGACTTTCGGGATATTCTTCCAAGCTTTCTCCAAATATTGGATCCACATCTGCCATGTCAGACTGTAATAGAAAAACAAATTACTATTATAAAATGTTTTGCAAAGATAGTTCCATTGCCTGCTTCAATTAAATCCTTAAGATTGGCGCTGTCAGCTATAATATAATTCTGTAGAATCGAGAAATGTTTTATCTTTATTAGATATTCATTGGAGGAAATAATGTTCCTTCACAGGTGCAAATTTTCTTCCGCTATATCTTGGCTTTAAGCAAATTAGTCTATTAGAGGATGTGAATAAAAAATTTATTTATATTCTAAATCAAGAGATGTAAGTTATATTAGGTTCCTCCTTTTATTATTAATAATAAGCTGAACACTATTTCAGAAAATTATTAAGGATATAAAAATGAGTAAACATGTTGTCTTTCTTGATTTATCGACATGATAAAGGAAATCGTTTTCTTCTGGGGTAATTGTAAATTTCGTCAGCTTTAAATCGATAATTTTATTTTACTTTATTACGTGAACATAGTTTAAGTTGCAACTATGTTACGACTTGAATTTGATTTTTGTTTCAATAGAGGTAAAATATCTGTGTAAGGATCTTTTTTTTTTACGCACTCTAGATGGCTTTATTTCAGGGATTAAGATGTCATCAGATACGCCAGCAAATATTTAAAACTGTGAAGCATCCCTAGTATTTCCAAGACTTTTCCTTATCTTGGTAAATAAACATCTTTAATTGGTAACTTGACTAAGACGTCATCAAAAAGTTTATTAACATGTAACGTAAAATATGAAGCAGAATTCCAGATTTTAGAGTCAGACAGGATGAAAAGAAGAATTTGTCCCTCAATAAATGTTCTCAAGCTGGACAATGATATCTTTACTTCCTCTTTGTTCAATAAATATTGTTTCATTCTCAAAATTATTTATAATATTATATAAAAATACATTGAGATCATGTTTAGATGGGATATATATGTGATGTACCAGCTTTTGTCAGGAATAAATAAATTGTTGAAGAATCATAAATGTAGTCGTCTAATTTCTTCTTCTTCCTTAGGGGAAGTTCGATAAGGTCTTAAAGTGACAGGCAAATCAGAAGTCAAGTTAATTCGTTGTGGTTCAATATTAATTTTACCTACATCATATTTATTTTTGAAAACACATTCTTATATTATATTTATTTAACAATTTAATTAATTCAGGGTTTTCTTCCTCCATACTCTCTGAATCTGTTGTTATTTCACTACTATTTTTTTCACATCACGTTTTTAAATTTTTAGTTATACATTACTTTCATGATTTACGTTAACTCTTGTTACCTTAGACATCATCATTAAACTTCATAATATTAGACTTATTACCTTCATTAACTATTATATCTTTAGACACATTATTTTCATTAGATATATTATTTTCATCAACACTTATTACCTCAGAGATATTACTTCTAGGTTTTGTCTTAACTGATGGCATTACATTACTGTTTTCTTCAAGTACTTGATAAAGTTGTACATGCAAAGAAACTCTGTTATTTACATTCACAGAATTTGGAATGTTTTCATTTCTTTGAGTTACCACTAAATTACTACAATCAATTTTTAATTCAAATAATTTACATGAATTTAAACTCAAAAGAACATAATCTAAATTAGTATCTAACACTAACAAGTTAATTAGTTTAATAATATTTCCAATTTTCATTTGTAATCTACACATTTTATCAATATAAATATTTCCTTTAGTTTGTCTAATTTTAATACCTTTCACGTTTTGAATTTTTTAACTGTAAATTGTTTGCATATTTTTCTGAGATGATAGACAATGTCGCGCCAGTGTCGACGACACAGTCGACTGATCTGCCATATGATAAAAATCCCTTAATTCTTAGTTGTCAAATTCTCGAAGAATCAGATCCCGAATTTTTGTTTTCCCCATTAAAATTAGTTTCAGTTTCGTTGTTCTCATTTCGGAATGGGCAGATTTGAGCCAAGTGATAAGAATTGGGTATCCCCTTTTTGGTACATATTCTACAAGGTGATGGGGCTATACCGTCAAAAGTACTATTAGTGTGGTGACTTACAACTTTCTTTCCGTTGTTGATATTGCTGTTAGATTTATTTCCAATTTGTTGAAAACTATGAGGTTTGTAATTAGATGCATTGTGTCGATTATCAACAAACTGACGATTATTATTTCGGAAATTAGCTTGTCTGAATTGTTAATTATTTCTATCTCTCTTATAATTTTGTGAATTTTCATCTTTAAATTCATGAATTTGTCGAAGTTTGTGGGCTTGTTCTAGCCAAGTTATCGGATCAGCGGGACTTTGAACAATCATCAAAGACTTTAAGTTCGTTGGCAAACCATCTGTCAAACCTTCTAAAATAATTGATTTATCCAAATTAAGCCGCTTACCCACTTCCATTTTCTTTCGAAAGTAATTCGTGATGTCTTCTTTGGCGTTGTATTTTAAATTAGCCAAGTCACAAAAGTAGTAAAGTATGTGGTAAAAGTAATGTGGGATCGATAAAGTTTTCTTTTAATATATGTTCCAAATTCTGAGTAAGTTTTTAGCTCATGGCAATTTTTAATATAGATCCAGAGGGCTTTGCCCTTAATGTAACGAGATATATTTTGAAGTTTCCAATTTTCGTCCTTATTTTGGCAGACTTTGTTAAAATAACCTAACCAAGAAATTATGTCACTGTCCTTAGAATATTCACATGGAATAATATTTAAATCTATTGTATCTTGATTCACGTTCAGTGAATCGTCAAGATTAACGGGTTCCTAATTTGTCGACATTGTAACTGAAACTTTAAAATTTTCTTGAGAACAAAAAATGTGCACTTTTCTCTATATATTTTTATAATAGTTAAAATATTTTTTTTAAACCAAAAACTCTTCAGAGTATTATCAACACTTCATAGAATAATAGACTTAAATAAAATTTTGTATTCTCAAATTTTATGATTATCACTACACATTTCAGGATAATATTCAAATCTTACTTAGAATACTATTAATTAGAATAAGACTTGAAATTTAAATAAACTCGTAATTACTTTAATATATTTAAAACAAACTATTGTCGTAGCAACTTAGTTCACACACTGAGAAAAAATAATTTCTTAAAATATGTTCTTACTTGGCTGTTGAGTACACTATTTAATCCTGCCTACTCCTTGTGATGTACCAGCTTTTGTCGTAACTTAAATTATCAGACGATAAGTTTTAAAAAACAGGATCCATTTATTATATTTCAGGAGAAAATAGCAGTTACAAAATCAGATATCCGGAGTAAATAAAAAAGAATTACTAATAACTTTTTGTATGAAGTTTACTGCATCGTGACATTAAAGAAAAGCCCCGATATTCTTTTGCGAGTCCTTTTATAGCTTCTGGAAAGGCGGAGCTTCCAAGAAATGACGTCAGCCTCATCAGCCAATCCAGTTAGCTTTAAATATTTCCAGAATATTTTATAACTGTACGTGTAGAAAAGGCGGGTAAAACAACTTGACTACGGGGCTGTGGATTTAATTCCACGTACTTTCAAATAAGAGGACGTCGCCATTAAAAATGAAAAGAACATACAGTTAGAATTTTAAGTGTATGCTTGACTATGGAATTTTATTATTACATATATATATAAAAGACATTGAAGATTCCAAATAGTGCATAGAAATATTAAAAAATCTCAGATGAACGCAAGATCAAAGAAATTAGCACCTATAGACGAAATCATGCCATGATCGCGAAACTGTAAATATAATTAGGGTATCTGTCGTTATGCAAATGATCCAAATTTAGGGGGATTGCGCAAGTCACATACCGTTCAATGGGTTTTAATCGCGCCAGACTTAAATAGTGATGTTTCATTTGACGTCGTGTAGTTTATCTGCCAAAGAACAATGTGAAGCAGATCTTAAATTTAAAGCCAGACCATACCGTGGCCTATAACACAGCATGTTGTTGTGCAACGGCCTGTTGAAAAAGGATAAACTAACACCTACAAGTTATTAACTAATTGCTTTATTTTTTGTTTTTGAAATTATGTCATGTCTTTCATATGTACCCTTGCCGTCTATTAAACTTCTCTTGTATCCGATGCCTTCTTCTTGGTGAGCTAATTTCATTGACCACGAATGTACGTTTGGTCTCATCCATTATGTTCAAGACGCATTCAATCTGTAATAATATTCTACATTTGTTAATTTTGAGTACATTTTTTATGGGAATTATTGACTCAAAGCTAAGAATTATGATATCAGTGTCCAGCATAGTTTTCGTACTGTTTAGAAGGTTTGAGAGAAAATGTCACGAACCTTGAGGAAAGTTTCGTATGTGGTTCCTTTAGTTGTTCCATAGCGTATACTGTGTGACTTTAGAGCCCGTTGAAGCTTCGCTACAGTATCGATGGTAGACAATCTTCCAGGATAAGTCATAAAAGAAGTGAGAGTACCAGCATAGCTCCATAAAATCACCATAATGAAGAACCACCAAAAGGAGATAAAGAAACGGATGCTGTAGCGAGCAGGTGCTGGGGAAGGAGTTCCTAATTCAAGAAATAATAATAATTCAGGTACAATAAAATTACTTCGAAGAGACCAGAGAAAAGGAATTCGTTGCAATTCATATAATATATTAAACGAAGAGATTAAAATATCATGGCAAATATCTTTTCAGGCCTATGTTGAGAGATGGAAATTACACTACAGTGATCATATTGGTAGTGAGGGTAACTTTAATTTTGAATAATAAGTCTGCAATGATAAGTCATGGATGCTATTACGCGACAAAATTCCTGCTCAAAGGTCTCTCGCGGTTTCAAATTTCAAGATGCTTCTCAATTTTTCTCTTCCAAGTTCACCGCAATATTTAATCTTGAAATCATGCGACTTTTAGCTGTCTCCTGAGTTGATGCGTAAAAGGTATTTAAGTGTCGTCGGTTGGTGAACATAGAAGAAGTGATAAAAGTACAAAGTAAGTTGCAAGGAAGGACATTGCAAAATGGATTCCACAGATGCTTCTACTTGAAGAAGGGCTATTTTCAGAAATGGTTACTAGACAGAAAATATTCATGTTGTAAATTAATTGTCTTGATTCATCAAAATCTCTTAAAAATTTCGCCAATATTTTACGTATATTTATTTTACTGGAATGAATTTACAACATGTAGCTAAATTCGGTGCAATATTTTAATCCAGTTCCCATAAAATATCTTTGAAAATACACACTTTTGCAAAAAAATCGAAGCACCATGAAGGAAGTGGTTGATTTAGATAAAATTGAATATGTGTATAGCTCATACACAGATGATTAAAAAATCAAGGTCATAGTACCTGTTCACGGCTTACAATCACTCATTGAGTGTTCAAATTAGTAGTTAGTCGAACCGCCCCTGGCGGCAATGCATGCTTGAATTCGTCGAGGCAAGGAGTGGTAGAGGTTCCTAATGTCATTCTGCCAGGGATTCATCAGGTGTCGCTCCAGATCTGCGATATTTTGTTGTGCCTGAATCTGTCGGTCTACCTTGCCCCAGATATGCTCGATTGGTGGCAGGTCTGGTGACTTTGCTGGGCGAGCAGTATGTGGGCTGGCATTATCTTGTTGGAAAATGACCCCAGAATGACGTGCCATGAAGGATAATGCAACCGGCCGCAGGATGGTATCATATCGTTGAACTGTTAAAGATGTACGGAGGATGACTAAAGATGACCTGCTGTCATAAGAAATAGCACCCCACACCATCACCAGGGTTTATGGCTCTATGCCTTTGTAAAACAAAGGGTGACTAGACCGCTGGCCCCGTCCTTTTCAGACACGAACGCCGGGGTAATCTGCTTCAAGAGTGAATTGGGATTCATCGCTGAGCACTATACGATTGCAGTCTGATGGCAGCCATGATGATCGGCTGCGATACCACTCGAAATGACTCCACCGATGTTGTGGGGGTCAAAGGAAAACGTCTTAAAGGCCCTTGTGATCGTAACCCCGCCACAGACAAGCACCGTGAGATATGGGCGGTACCACGGGAGGTATAGACGTGGCTGTAGAGCGTTGAATAGTCGACAATGATACCGTTGGGGTAGTTCGGACCAATCATCCAATCTTGCCTCGCATTTGTGATCCTTGGCCTTCCATAGCCTCCATTTCGTCGGCAATTTCCTTGTAGTAACCATTGCTGCCAACATCTTTGCACAGCAGTGTCCGTACGCTGCATGTGGCTGTCTATTGCTCGGTATGAGCACCCAGCTTCACGCAGCCCTACAATGCGACCACGTTCGAAGTCGATTAGTCTTCGATATCGTCGTAATGGCATCTTTAGTTGCTTCTTTACGGAATTACAATGGCAGAAAAAAAAAATTCCGCCTCTGTTACTAGTTTTATACTTTGCGAATTACGCCCTAGAAATGCGCGCTATGATTGCAATTTCTGTTCATTTGCCTTGAAACTTTGATAATTTGCATGTTCGATCAAGATGTTTTTGCAAACAAAATTTCGTCACGATCGCAAAAGTCCTTTTTGGTACTTCGATTTCTTTTGTAAAAGAGTGTATTTCCCTACCAATAAACAAGTGACCTTAGAATACATGAAGATTATTAACTGTTATACGGGTATTAAATTACCTATAAGTTTGTTCATGGTTTAATATTACATATTAATACTACCAACAGAAAGGTTTAGTTTAAATAATAATAATAGAGTAGTATAAATAAAGTAGAATAGAGTATAAAAAAGTAGAATAGAGTTTTTCAAAACTTTTGTGCTGTTGGTATTAGTTGTCAAATATGTAAGTTTTTGAATTTGGAGATCGCACCTAAGTACGTTTGACTTATCTATGTCATTTAACTAACATTGGCGAAATATTTGAATATGCAGATTTATATGGCACGGAAACGATAAAAGACGATTCAAAATGATAATAATGTGTAAATAAAAGTGTCCCACCTTGCTGTCCTAGTGTTCGCAGCAAAAACCAGATATTATAGGCTCTTCTGATACCACTTTTACACGGAAGCGAATGAGTAATTGCGTATAAAACTGCTGTACAAAGGATTAACGTTGATATAAGACCAATCCATACCTAAAATGGGAATCGAAAATCATTTTTTCCGTCATAAGTAATACAAAAACATATAAACGTATTTTTCTTAAATGATCAGACATTTAAATTCGTATACTTTTTTATTTTTACTTTTAAAAGTAATATCTTTCTCCTAGAATATTATAACTTTTTAATTACACGTTTGTATTTCCAACTTTTGAAGGAGGCGGTTGTTTTTTAATGAGCGAATGCAAAACATTTTTTTTTTATTTTGCATTTATATCTGATTTAACTGCAAAAGAATTAAAATATACGTATTTGATTAAAAATCTTTTGCTTTGATTGCAATGAATGCCCATTATCTCGGAGCTTGTAACTTGTTCCAACTCGAAATTTGGATAACTGAATACACATTGCAAAATTTATTTCAGACGGTATAATGCAAAGACCTCTAAAAATAAACCTTCTGCCTCTTTAAAATGCATAACTGTTTTGATTACCTAAGAGTTTTAATTAAATGATCATAAAAAAAAAAAAAAAAACGTATGAAACTGTTTAAGACTGAAACTTTCAAAAGCTTATCTTTATCAATGCTTGCTATAACTATGTGTTTTTGCTTTTTGTTTGTACAATCTTTGGGTGTTTGAAGCAGGAGGCACGAAAAATATGCAATGCCCTTGCCAGGACTCGAACCCTGGTTCTCTCGAATACACGTTAAATAGGCTGCCAATTACACCACGAAGGCATGCGGAAAGGAGGAAGAAGAAATCTTATATACTCCCCCTTTTAAGGGTCTTCTAATCCCCAATCGCCATAAGTTTTATGTCTTTTATTTTTTTTAGTATGGCAGTATAAAGAATTTATTTTTAGAAGAAAAAGAATCTTAATTATTCAAATGGCATAAGTTGAAAAATGTAGTTCATGTGAAATATGCAAGAATTAGCTAAAAGACATAGAGGAAAAACAGAAGTTATTGTTAACTAACACACACACTAAGAAAAAAAAAATAAAATAAGAACTGTTAAGTTTAGAAAGCCAAATGCGCCAGAAATCACCTCTATTATACATGATTGGTTGTTACTTTGACTCGGCATTTAAACTTCGTTTAATATCGGATTTATTTTCACTTCACAAACACACATAGATTAACGAGGTTTAGTTATTTAGGTTTTAATATAATGATCAAATAGTCCGTAAATCGTAATGAGGAATAACATTCATTGCATTCTGTAACGTAAATTAAATGCTGCGTAACTAGAATGGTAATAAGTTTTCCCGATAGCTACATCCCCCTCCCCTAAAAAAAAAAAAAAAAAAAGGGATGCCAGATCCATAGATCAAATAAAATTGCAAAACAAATGATTAAATAATATAGTTCGACCGTCTCAAGCGCAACCCTGGTTGGCATTCTGCCAAAACACATAGACTCGTCCGAAAGGGGCGGTATTACTTCCTGCGACGTAAAAGGTCTTTTCTTCTCCGGAAAGAGCTATGCTGGAAGGAAAGAGTCCCCATCCTTCCACGCTATTTTGAGAATAATTCGGTCCAAATGGCGCATGCGTGTTTGCGCTCATGGTTGCGGATGAGGCGGTCGAACTATACCAAACGGCCAATAGTGAACTTAATAGGAATGGCAGAAGTTGTGTTCATGTAAACAGAGCATTTTACGAGAAAAAGGCCAAACTAGATTCTGAAAGCTTCAAAGCATCAGATAGTTAGTTGTCTGGATGCTAAAACCTTCAAAGCATCTGATAGTTTGTAGGATTTATATTTATTTTAAATAACATTTATTTTAAGTTTAAACTATCTTTCCTGTCAAGCCTTACTTTCCCCTGGAACTGCCAATGCCAGAATATGTAAATTTTAGTAGAACGCGCAAGGATTCAAATTATCAGCGGAAGTATTCTGATTTAAATAGAAGGAAACGAGTTCGGTGTGTGATCTTCTTACTTCACGAGCGCGGAGGTAGTTAGCGAGAAATTGAAGAACCCCGCGTTTCGGCCTATGTGCTTGGCGGGAAGTAGTGTTGAATTAGCAGCGGTATTGTAAAACGCGGTGAGTTAGTCATTTTAGAGAGCCTCGTAGTTAGAGTCTTATCTTTAGTTTCTTTTCAGGTTATTATTTTTATTTGACTGCCGAGTTGGCACAGTCTGTGAGCGTCAAGAGCACGCAATTGTAATTTTTACGTTGAATAAAAAGGGACTTAAACCCTTCACAAGACTCTGTGTTTTATACAGTTTTCACAGTCACCTCTTGGTTGCGTGCAAGTTGGAGGCGCGCAACGTTACAAGTTAGTTGTCTGGATTCTTAAATCTTCAAAGCATCAGATAGTTAGTTGTCTGGATGCTAAAAGCTTCAAAGCATCAGACAGTTAGTTGTCTGGATGCTAAAAGCTTCAAAGCATCAGATAATTAGTTGTCTGGATGCTAAAGGCTTCAAAGCATCAGATAGTTAGTTGTCTGGATGCTAAAAGCTTCAAAGCATCAGATAGTTAGTTGTCTGGATGCTAAAAGCTTCAAAGCATCAGATAATTAGTTGTCTGGGGAGATCTGTGACTGTGGCTGACATGAAGTTAATATGCTTATTTGACATATTGAGAAAAGTACTTTTTAACGACAGAATTCAAAGTAAACCTTTTTAATACAAAGTAACTCTTTTACCTGAAATAGAAGAAAAATTGTTTGTACTATATTACTGATTTGACACACACACACTTATATATATATACCAAAATCCACGTGACGGTTCGAGATTCTTTTGAAAAAAAAATAACTGGTAGGAACAATAAGTCCTTTGTTTTTTTCTATTCATTTCTATTTTTTAAACTCGGTTATTTCTTTAAACTCTAGCCGTGGATTACTTAATTTTAATTCTAGTAATTTGAAAACATTTCATTACATTTAATTGCTTTTAGCGTTCCATTTAATCGCTAGTTATTTTTAGTGTTTTGGAATAATTTTGCGTTTTTGCCGTAATTGTTTATTGTCCGGTACACTAAATTGTCCTTGTCAGTTACCAAGGTCATAATTAATATTTTATTACTATAATGAATTTGAGAATTCTGAAAAGCGTAGGGAGTATGTTTTGATTTTTAAAATCATCCTTAATTAGAATAGGATTTCAGAATAGCTTATGGCAATCAAGACTGAGTGAAACGTTTCATGAAGCTTCTAGTTAAACGGAAAGACTTTTAAATAGTTACCCCCTGATGATGTGTATAAAAGATGTTTCAATTTGTTACAGCAGTTACCTTTTTAGGGCATTTCTCCTAATATTTATAGTTATATTTTTATTTTGATATTTTTTAGTCCAAGACTCTTTTTCACCCACTTTTATTTTTCAATTAAATTCGTAATATGCTGTAACCAAATTTTAAATTCATTTAAAATAATTTTAAAAATGATATATTGATGAGTAGTTATCTAATTTCTTAACTTACATTGTTAACTTAATCAAAGTTGCTTTAGTCCTTGATTTTTAGTTTAAGAGATAAGATAACTGAATCACAAAGCTGTCTTTAATAAAAATAAAACTGCAAATGAATACTAAATAAGGTATTAAACTGAATATCTCAAGTAATATTTTACAAATAGCTAACCCCATTCATGTCTTTTCTGCTCTTAATTCATGCTATAAATAAAAAAAGTAAAAAACATTAAAATACAAAAACAGCAAAGATATTGTTTCCTAAATCTTAATTCTTATTCAAATTTCTGTCTATGGCTTAAACTTTACACACTTAAAGTAAGATAAAAATGAACGAAAGTTCTAGAATTTTCTGTGGGAACAAATGGTCATTAATTCCCACGCCATGTTTAGTAAACAGAATGCATGAATTATATACTAATGAAATGTATTAATTTTAGTATATTGTAATAAGCAATCTACACTACACCATGGGCTGAAAATATCTATAAGTTTCGTTTCTATTGCAGTGTGTGTTTGTGTGGTTAAAAACGAAACGTTTTTTGTCAAGAATAATTAAATAGTATTAAGAAATATTATAATAACATTTCTGAAGAAGTGCTTCTCACCTTAGGAGAGAGTGGTTTGATTAGAACGTATTTTCTGCTTTCTAGAGCTGGACTGAGAACTACAAAACTCATCTTGCCGAAAATGTAAGGTGAACTGAAATCCACAGACATCAGTCTTCTATAGCTGACTGATAGAGTGGCTATACTGAAAATCACGTGCTGAAAATTGAAAAAAACGTATTCATAATTTCGTATAGTTTTCATATAATTTTATTCTGCATAATAAACCTTTTTCTCATGTTTCAAGAGTTAATGAAAAAATATGTAATATACATAAAGCATAAATTATTATAATTAATAATAATTAAGCACAGTTATTATGCGCATTAAAACTATTTCACATGATCTTGTTACGCACTTCCATAGGCTAAATAATTATAATAAATAATCTGATGTGTGCACCACATGACTTCCTTGTACGGAATATTAAATTATACGCATGTTTTCTTGCATTTCATTTAAACTTATTGGACTGAATTAAATCTAGTTCGCCGACAGCGCATAAACCACAATAGAATAAATACACTCTTTAAAATTCACTGTATTTGTTTACCATAGCAACACTTTGACCCTAGGTTCACTTAACAGCGTTACATTTCATTCATTTTTTAACTCAGAATGCACAAAATTTATATTATCTTAAGAATTATCTAATCGTTGCCACATGTTCTATTCAAATACTATAATAAATCTAGAGCGATGTATAAAAGAAATTAAGCAAAGAACAACAACAAAAAAGAAAGAGTTTTTCACAGACGATTCAGTATTCTCATTCAATTAATTCAGATCTCACTTCGTGACAAGGCAAAAATACATAAAAACTCAAAATGTCTGTATTGAAAATATGAAGTAAATCTTAAACACTTATTTCCCCGAATAAATTCCAGAATGGATTAAGCATGATTTAATTGGCAATAATAAATGAAGGCGTTATCTTTGTTGTTGCGAAGCTAAGTTTCTCTAGATTGGCAACGAATCCACTAGTCTGCTGTTTCAAATGTAAACAATCAACGGACGCCATAAAAAAACGCTTAGCGGCACTTAAACAACTGTGAAATTGTTGATAATTCTAAAAATATTGCATATAGATTTACAAAAGGCATAAAAATCTTAACCGGAAGATAAGAACTACATAATTCAATCATTTTTAAGGCAAAAAAGGCACAATTTACAAACATATAAGAATAAAGAAACTGAGATCACTGAGCCGGGTAACAGAGTGGATATATATATAAATATATTTATATACGTTTGGTGCGGTCGATTACAATCAAAATACGAGGTGCACATCTACATGTTATAGTAGTCCTATATACAAAATTTCAACGTTCTGAGGCTACTCGTTTTTGAATTATGCGAGATACGTACGTACGCACGTACGTACATACGTTCATACAGACGCCACAAAAAATTCTCTTCAGAATTAATTTTAAAGTAGTTTTATAATTTTTTTGAAGGAAATGAGTCTTTTATTCCTTACGTACAAATATCACGCAAAAACATCGTTAAATTGCATTCGATAGCGGTCAAAATGGATATTTTCGTTGAAATATGCTGCCTGAAGCTTTTCGCGATTACAATACTTCCTTTTTACTTCGTACAAGGAAGCAAAAAGCCCTTGAGTCCTGCATTATGTTTCTTAGAAAACTTATAAACGTAGTTTTTAGTTTGATGATTTGTTAAAAACCACATTGGGAGTATATGTTAATTTTCCTTAAAGATATGTCCCATCAGTTTAGTATCATGCGGAGTAATCTTTCGAGTATTACTGTTGTAATATTCCATAAGGAAGGGTAATTTCCCAGTTCGTTTCAAACTTAAAAAATCATCAGCTGAAAATCATTCTGATATTGTTTCAAATGTAACTCTTCATTTTCTAATTTCATACAATCGTGCGTGCAGTAAAATGATATTGAGCTTGTGTTTATATGGCTTACAATTTGACACCATCAGATTCAAATCACTTCACAGAAATTTATGCATTCTCAGTGCACTCCATTTAAAAGGAAATAAATCCTCTTAAAATAACTTCAAAGAGTGATGTCACAGTATTTTTAACTTAAAGATCTCCGTTAGGAAGCTGCTTTCATGACAGCGCATATGTGGAATACAGATATGCCATTATAATTGCTATCATCATTTCACACTCTGATACTTGTTCGGAACTCCTGAACGTTCATAAATCCTTTATTCTTGTTATTCAGGGCTAGCGACTCTACCGCGGGCACCTGTTAACTGCCAAAGGCATTTCGCTTGAACAGTGTCTTAAGATAGTACAATAGCAAATATTTCTTTAACTTGAGCATAATCGCTTGCTAAATTGAAATTACGTAACATAATTACCGGTTTTCATATGTCAGCTACAGTACTGTGTGTAAAAAAAATTAAACAATTTTCATATTACAGAAAAGATTATAATACTGCACAAAAGCTGCAGTATTTGTAACGGGATAGTTAGCAATGAAAACAATAGCGGCAAAAAGTATTGTCGATGTTGAAACTCGACGTTAAAACTTTTGGCCAAACGATTAACATTACATAATCCGTGCACGCTCGTTGCATCGAGACAGAACTTTCATGGAATTAGTAATGGAGGATGCAATGAAAGATGTAATCCGTAACTTCTGTGTGCTATGTATAACTAGTTAGGAATGTGTGTAGGACAGTGGTGCCCAACCTTTGGCTTATTGCGAGCATATTTCAAAAAAATCAACATTTGAGATGAAATAATAGTATTGGTTGAACTTTATGGACATCAGAGAAGTGGAGTTCAAAATTGTTTTCCAGTGCATTTAGGTTTGCCGAGTATTTTTCTGTTTCAATTGCCTTGTGGTTATTAATATGGCTTTAATAAATTCTGAAAATGGGTGAAATTTTTTCTTTCATCTGATTTATCCACAAATTTAACTTTATCTGAAAAGAAGTTACAGTCCCAGTCAATTGAAAAAGGGTTTTTTCTCTTTTCCCTGAAGATCTTCGTTCAGTTTGTTCAGTTTAGCTGTTATATCCGTTAGAAAATAGAGGTCGGATAACCAATTATTTTCGTCCAGTTCTTTATAGCTTTCGTTCCGGATTCCCAAAACTGCTTTATTGGCGTAAGAAGTTCTACAAATGGTTGAAGTACTTTTCCCTGCTGAGCCATCTAACATCGGAATGAAGTAATAAGATTCCATGTTCGCTATCAAGTTCTTCAGTCAGCAAACAATTATTTTATAACGTCTTGCAAGATATCTCTTATGACTATAAATGCTTACTATATTTTAATAATAACAATTAAAAAATATAAATGAATGGTTAATTTTAAAATATGTTTTGCTCATAGTACCTAATCGGGCTAGCGAGCAAATACAAAACGATCGGCGAGCAAACTTGTGGTCGCGAGTACAAGGTTAGGCAGCGCCGGTGTAGGGAATTAAAATATGTTATTATTGTGGATGTGCCCTTTTTTTGCGAGTAACTGAAATTATCTTCAATTAATAAAATATTCCCGGATTTCGGCACCAAATTAGAAGCTGTTTTTTTAACCACGGTATTTTGTACGACTAAGTTTTGAAATTGGAAAGTTTTGTCATTGCGTTATTTTTCGTCTCGGAATTTTTGTGCTGCGGTGTTTTAGAGCAGCAAAGTTTTCTTCTTTTGTTTGTTTCCCTCATTACAGTAATATCTACAAAGATACGCATATCTTTCTCGCATGGTTTTGTGATGCAATTCTTTTCGTCTTTGATAATTTCCTCGAACACCATAGGGGATAACTTTTACTTCACGTATTATTAAGGATTTGTGTAAATTAACTTTAAAATTATATAAAATAAAATGAATGTCTTCTAATTTACGATCTATTGCTTTTAATAATTTATTTGCATGTTTATCTCATGCTAATACATTGATAAGGAAGTTTAAAATTTCTTTACGTAAACAATTTTGAAATTCTGATGAATTTTTGAATGTTACGCTCTTATTAGAATTAAATTCATTCAGCGAGAGGAAAAAAATTCAAAATTTGTAACGCCATCATGATAATAGAAATGGTAATAATAAATAAACAGAAAAAAAATATTACCCCCTGATCTATCAGGCCTACGAATCCAGTCCAGGTGCCATTGGCTAAACGGTTGCCAAACTCATCATCTGTATTATTGACTGGTTCAGTTCTGGATGTAAAATTTAGTAAGTTATAATTTTATAAAAGTCAAACATACATAAAGCAAAAACGATTTGACATATTTTTCTGAAGCAATTTGTTTGAGACTTTTCACATAAATTGCTTAGATAAACTAATAAACATATCATTATAAAATTTAAGGATTATTTTGCGATTTGAAGGTAAATGAATAATGGTTATGAATGGAAAGTAATCAGGAGGAAATTTAAGATGATGCAATGAATTAATCATAGTGCAGTGAATTAATCACAGTGCAGTGAGCATCAGTGAATAAAGCAGTATGCATGTGGTAAGTTGAACTCAAACCAGAAGAACTCAGGAGCACATCAGAGATCGTAACGCAAATTGTTAGTCATGTTTACGAGGAGACATATCTACTGTTATGCTTTGTTCGTTAATGTCTCAAAACAAATTCAGCTATTTGTTAGTATCGGAAGTGGCAAAATGGAACAATTATGGCAACAAGCAACTGTATGCGTGTTTGCACATATACCCTAAATGTTCTAGAGAATCAGAGGTTACCTCTGATCTAAGCGCAGAGTTTACAGTGCCCATTATGATTTATTAGTCCAAAGGGGCTTTGTTCCTGAAGGACTATTGTTTTCGTTTTGCGTCGATTCACCACAAACGGCGAATCACTTTTTAAACTGTTGCCACAAAGTATTATCGCCCTGTGTTATATTTAAAGAAATTAAATAATGAAAAATCTGCATAAATGTATGTATATTTTTCGCATTTTGATAAAACAACGGTACATACAGCCATCGAATTTTGAATGACGTAATCCTCCTAGGAATATGGACATGTGGAAAACCAAATTTGAAATTTGGAATTCGTTTTATTATCGATTTCCTATTTTGCAAAACTTTAACGAATTTTTGAATAACAAACTTAAAGATATAAAGATTTCAAAGCGAGCAATGGCAACGTTGTACAGAAAAAACATTTTTTTTTTATCTCCAGCGCACGAGTCTCTGTATTGGAAATTCTAAAGACATGCTCATTTTAAAACTTTTGCGATATTGCTGTTGAACTGAATTTTATGGTTTAAGTGCGGAAAACGTGACATTTAATAAATAAATGTAACACACAAAATGTTAAGAAAACGCCCTAATTTAAAATCTGAAACATTTCAGATTTCTTTTTAGTTTATATTGGGTATATTATATTGGGTATATTATTTTTTTGGATATTCTAAATTGTACTTCAGTGTCGTCGGTAGATTGGTTTTGCGTCAAGGTACCCGTGAAAGGAATGAGTTACTTGTAAAGGTACTTAAATTATCGTAAAGTCATACAGTTCGTGGTAATTACAGTAATTCTGCAGAAACACTTCTAAGCTGTTCGAACTGGTGTTTTAAATGTCCTTAACTCATTTTTTGATTTCAAATGAGTCGAAATGAGAAACACCAGAATATCGCAAAGAAGAAATTTTACTCAGTCGACAGTCAGATCCAAAATTTGAGCATTAAATCTTAACCGTCATTATGATGTAAATGGTTTAAAATATACATAAAACTGAGTACCTTTTGTACACGTTGCTGTAATGAAAAGGTTTCTAAAACGGGCGAATGTAAGCAATATTTATTCTATTTTCAAATTTTTAGTAAGGAAAACGTTTTAAATACTGACAGAATTTTTAGAATGCACATCAAAACAGAAAACGAGAAAATTTATTTGACAAAATGTGGCAGATCGACTTTCAAAATGACAGAATTGCCACAAATGGAGATTTTAACAAGGAATCCAGAATACGGCTAAGAGACTGAAAGAACAACAATAAATGGAAAATCCAATTCAGTAAGGGAAACTTTATTCATATTTCAAGAATGATTTTTACTTTACTAAAACAACCCATAGTCTTATAACATCAAGCATCAAGACTTAATAATATTGATGACGACTTTCCTCAGCAAACTTCCAGAGAGCAGTTGAATTATGGAATATGTTGCATTATTTCATGAGTTGAATTTTAAAGGAGTTCAGTGAAATTTCACCGAAGGGATAGCTAATTTAAATGCACTGAGGATAGAGACATTTTACAACTCATCTTAAAACCACTACTCAAACCATGGTGTGTTGTTAGATCTTCCATATACAAGCTGTAGTGTCATTAGGTATTTTCAAAGCAAGAGAAGTGAAAAATGTGTAGTACTATCGCTGGGATTCGAACTCCAGACCTCCCGAATTCGCATCGAGTGTGCTTCTAGTTACACCATAATATCATGCGGAAAGGAGGCAGAAAATATACTTAACTCACTCTTTTAAAGGGCGACTGGGGACTAGGAAACACTATCACCAACACCTGGTGATGAAGAATTATCATCGGGCTCCTTTTGAGCCTCTTAAAACTTTTAAATGTCAAGAAACTGAAGAAATTCTCTGTGTTCTTGCCGGGATTCGCAGTGCTTCCAGTTACATCTTGAAGGTAGGCGGAAAGGAGAGAGAACACATCTTGCAAAGTCAAAATACCAAATTTAATTACTGAAGCTTCCTCTAAATTAAATTACAATTCAAGATAATTAAATGTTATGAATTTCTTTCGTTATCAATGCTGTAATTTCTCAGAGGGTGAAAACATCAATTAACACCGAACCGGCGTAATCTGATTGCAGTGACCATGTTGGCAAATGCGAGGAAGGGTTCTCACCAGATTCCATTTATGTATGATACCACAAAACTCTAAAGAGTTTACAGACATGGTAACAGGTTCGCCGACAGATAAATTTTATAAATCAGAGATTATTAATCTGTCAGATCTGCTCAATGCAATGATAACATTCTATATGACAATGTCAGATCTAACAGTACAAGAATTGTTTTCATTAGTGGGCACTTTGCCACTTAGGCTTGGCCACTACTAAGCTCGGAAGTGGTGGGAACTTTATTGTGGTTCAACCTAATAGGTGGGCCCTCGTTACCTCCTATGAAGGAATGGACAACTACAACCATGCCTTCTCCGGGATCCGAACCTGGGTCCTTCCATATCGCAAGAGGCTCTCCTATCCACTATACCGTCTGGGAGGCACACAGAACAAGATGTTTGAAGATAGATTTCACGATGAGCTTATCAATACTTTTCTTGGAAGTAAATACGAAACCATCACGACAGAATAATGTTTTTCCTCCTTCTGGTACAGTAAATAGAATACCGAATGCCGTTTTCTATTTTTGTATTTAAGAGGACATTATACATACTAAGAATTCCATAATTCCACATAACAAGAATTTCATAATTCTACATAAAAAGAATTTCATAATTCTACATAACAAGAATTCCATATTTCGTGCCCACCAGCGGCCGAGCGGTAAAGACGCTGAACACTGGTAGTTCGGTCTGAGGTTCGAATCCCGCGAACGGGCTGGCTGCATGGGCGTTTTCGTGGTTTTCCCCATGTGTAACGTGTATACGAGCCAGTTTCCCTTAGAAAGTCCTCCACGAAAGGCATCCCTCCCTTTAGGCAGATAGCCCTCGTGTGCTTTGCCATAATTAAATACACAAATACACACACCATATTTCGTAAACATTTCGAAATGCAATAATGACATAGAAATTGCATATAAAAGATAATAAAAGAAAAAGCTGGGATGACTCATTGTTACAAAAGCAATTGGGAAGGGTTTTTTTTCTCATCTTATTTTTCATCCTTATTTTGCTACGGTGAAAAATGACAAAAAAAAAAAAATAATACAACATAGAAGTTTGAATGAAGAAATGATTAGGTGTTTTTTCTCCATATTTCAATGGCAAAAAATATGATAGCCCTTCGATTATATTGCACTATTTTATTGGAGTACTTTTAAAACAATACTAAAAATAAAAAATAAAATTCTCAAAAAAGCAATTAAATTGATATTTAGAATTTCATTTATTACATTTAATTTATTTTAAGGTACATAACATTTTAACTGATAATCAATTATGAGATTGTTAAAACTCATTATCAGTTTTAATTTCATATATTCAATATTAGTTGTAATTTTTTTTAGAATGAAATTTTTAGTAACTAGACGAAGAGTTGTTATATTATACCATATAGAAATATCGATACCGTTTGTGACAAATACCTGAAGTTGAGTTTTGATTTCAGAGTTGAAAGAATTTCGTACTCCATTCCTTCGTAACCTTTTCCATCTTTTGTTCTTGCGTAAAAAGGATGCTCCTGAAAATACAATTATTTCTTTTAAACTCAACAGTAAACGCGAGAAAGAGAAATTATTAGTCTGTACAATTCAAGAAATTTTCGTAATGTTAGATTTGCAGCAGCATTAAAAATCTTAAACCTATTAATTACAATTAAGCAAAAAATTAAAAGTTTAAAATTAGGCAAATATCAATTTTATAATAAAAAAGTTTGATTATATAAAAAAAATTTTGAACGAATTTTGAATATTTTATTCGCTTGGAGAAACAAGGAAACGCGGCTTAAGATTCTTTTGTTTAACACTTAATTATTATAATTTATTGAAATAAATTATAATAATTGAGTTTAATTTTGAAATATGGAGCCATTCTTTAGGAAAAGGCTGTGAATTATTAGAATTTAAAAGAAGCTGCAATATAAACATAGTATGCAAATTTTACACCAATAAAATTCTTCAAATTCTCATCGCATCTCGACTTTGCGTGGTATTAAACGTTTCCAGATAGAATCAAATCTTGCAGAAGCATCAAGATGTTTCACAGAAATGAAAAAATAAAGATTTAAAAATGCTTAAAGTAATTTAGTAATTTATTCGAAACACTTAAGTACCAACTTCTTAGAACTGCGACTAGAATCTGGGATGAACAGCTCAATATCTGAGGATTCATCACAGCGCAGATATTGCCAAGTAGTTTTCTGAAGCAAGTTTAACATTTTTTATTAGAACTTAAACCCACATCTGTAGTTTGCATATCACTAAGTTATTAGGCTTTTTCTTGCTGCGATTTATGCATAAATGTTACCTTCGGTAAAACTTATATCGCTGAGTATTGCAGGTTTAGTCTCATTTGCCCGAACACGTAACATCATAAAAAATAATAATAATAATAATAAAAAAAGTCAAAAAAGAAAAGCATATTGATATTTTTACAGAACTTACATCTAGAAAAGAAACTTTAAGTAATCTATTTCTAAAATCGTCAATTCTTTTGTCTGGTGAGTGTACTACATGTAGGCCTTGTGATGATGTCCATTCACCAAGTCTGTTGGTGAGGGCACAGTGTCCATCATGTTTCATCGAAGGACCGATGATGGAAAGTCTCACTTCTTTAGATTTCTAAAATAACAGAAAGGTGCTTCAGCAAGTATTGTTTGAATTCAAGAAAATATAAAGTAAAATTGCAAGACTTCAGATAACAGAAATGTTGCCATTAAATAACACAAATAATAAAGAAAGCTAAAAATTGAAAAATATAAAACTCGTTGATTTCATTAATTTCACGTGTTCAAGCTGAGCCGCCGTTACCATAGGTCTACTAGTTTAAGAATATGTCCCACAGAAATTAATGGTCTTAAACATGGCTGTTTGGACATTTTTTTGACGATTTTGGCTTGGTGTTAAAAAAAAAAAATTCCAAGCTCAAGATGTTTTTCCTGCAACTATATTTTTGAAAGTATAAATCATTGCCCGATACTTGACAGTTTTGTTTTCATGCAAAAGGGCACTTTTAAAGAAGCAGTGGATTGAAGGCTATGTTTGTGTTCTTTTCGAAGAAAATTATTCGTATCTAGTTATCAAAAAACGAATGCCGTGAGATTTTTCGTTAAGGTTACGATAGGTAATGCTGTCAAAGGCAAAAAACCTCAAAATTTATCTTCAAGTGGAAAATTTGTTCAAATACTTGGGAAAAGAATAGTTCGAATGAATACAAAAATAGAATCTTTCAAATGTAGCAAACGTAAGATCTTTAATTTAAAAGAAAAATCCGCCAAGTCAAAGGATAGTTGCAAAATCATTGAAATGCTCAGTGTCAATTGTAAAAAAAGTGATTAATATTGATTTGAATCTTAAAAAGGCGAAAAACGTTACATATATATGTAATAATAGAATTCCATTGTCAAGAATACACTTAAAATTCTAACTGTATGTTCTTTTCATTTTTAATGGCGACGTTCTCTTATTTGAAAGTACGTGGAATTAAATCCACAGCCCCGTAGTCAAGTTGTTTTTCCCGCTTTTCCTACACGTACAGTTTTAGAATGTTCTGGAGATATTTAAAGCGAACTGGATTGGCTGACGAGGCTGACGTCATTTCTTGGATGCAGTAAACTTCATACAAAAAGTTATTTGTAATTCTTTTCATTTACTCCGGATATCTGATTTTTGTAACTGCTGTATCTCCTGAATAATAATAAATGGATCCTGTTTTTTTAAACTTATCGTCTGATTATTTAAGCCACGACTACAGCTGATACATCACATGTATATACACACACACTAGTTATTTTTATAGAAAAACTTTGTTTATATCTCTATATAAAACAATTTTTTTTATAAAATAACAAGAAATATTTATAGAAAAACTTGCTTTCAATTTCAATGAATTTTAGTTCATTCAATATACAGTATATATATATATATATATATATATATATATATATATATAATATGTATATATATATATATACACATATATTATATACACACATATATATTATATACTATACGTGTTTGTGTATATATATCGCATTTCCTCTGTATTTTCCCTCTCGTTTTTGAACTCTAGATTCTGAAAATTTTAAAAATAATCGCATAATTTTCCCTCTCCTATTTTGCCTCTCAGTGTTAGTTTATTGGTAAATTCTATTCCCTTGATTATTGTTATTTTTATTCAATATTCAGGTTGTATTTGTATTAGCCTTTTATCGATTTTATTTTCTTTTAAACCTACACCGGTGTGCAAAAATTAAGGACGAGACGGTTTCTTCAATATAACTTTGTACAACAGCTTTTCAAATAAACACATTTAATACCGTAAGATCCCCACTACGTAAGGACATGAGTAATGTAAGCAACACTTACTAAAAGAGAAATCAGAGGGATAAAAAGAAGCTTTATTGAAAAAGTAGCATGGAGCGCAATGCGATTGAAGGCCGAAACATCCCTATGATGGGTGTCCAGAAAGAAACATCCGGTTTTTAATAGGGGATATGATCTCCCCTGACTACTAGGCAGGTTTCACAGCGTCTGCGCATGCTGAGAATGAGGGTGTCAATGAGTAGTTGAGGCATTGCTGCCCATTCGCCTTGCAGCGCCAATCGAAGCTCCGGAATCGTTACTGGTGGTAAGGTACGAGCTGCCAAGCGTCTGCCTAGAAAATCTCATACATGCTCGATGGGATTGAGATCCGGAGATCGTGCCAGCCAATCCATACGTTCAATATCCTCACTCTCTAAGAGCTGTTCGGCAGCTACTGTGCGATGACATCGTGCATTGTCGTCCATGAAAAGGAACTGCGGACCCATAGCGCCTCTAACAAGACGCACATATGGAAGAAGAATCTCGTTACAATAACGGGTCCCGTTGACTGAACCTGCGTCGAAGATGTGAAGGTCTGTACGACCACCAAGCATGATGCCTCCCCAAACGAGAACACCGCCACCTTCATACCTGTCCCTTTCAATGATGTTCGAGGGATGATTGCGGCTTCCCCGCTCTCTCCAGATGAGTATGCGATGAGAATCGATGCGATAACTCAAAAGGAATGTCCGTGGAGTGCCGACGCGTGACTATTCGCGCAATCCTGTTCCATCGAATAATTTTGCGGTTGAAACGTGATCAATTTTTTTTTTCGTATTATCGCGCTGTCTGGTTACACACTTATAAGCTCTTCTTTTTTCCTTTTACATTCATATGATTTTTACACACGTCGCACGTGGTGACCCATTGCTGGTCCAGCACATCTTGAAGTCGAACAGTTACTTATATTCTGCTTGCGCGTTTATTTTATTCACAAATTCCACACACTTGCGCGTATATTATATTATTCACAAATCAAACTTTTACTTTAAGTACTGGATTTCTTCATTCTGCTTCTTTCTCGGCAAAATTAGACAGGAACAAATGGCGACTGCTGAGTGTGTGTGACCCGAAGGCCCACACACTCGCTAAACTCGACGTCAGGCAGCAAGAGGGGAAAAACGAAAAAGAGAGAGAGACAAACCAGTCCTTCCAGTATTTATACCTTTCGACGCACGTGCTCGCGCGTGATAACGATACAAGAATCGATGTAGTCACATTGTTCTCACAAGACTGAATCTGCTCTCATCTGTAAAGAGTACTCGGGCCCATTCATTGTTTCTCCAAATCCGGTGTTCCCGGCACCACAGAGAACGCCTTTTCCGATGGGCAGGCGTTAGAGGTACACACCGTACAGGGGGTCGTGCAAACAGATCACCACCGTGCAGACTTCTGGCCACGGTAAAAAGCGATATCGGTCGTCCAGTCGCCTGTGTCGTGGTCTAGCGATTTCTCCCGCTGTCTGCTGCCTGTTTCTTCTGGCCTGTAAGGCAATATACCGGTCATCTGCGGGTGTGGTCCCTCGCGCATGACCACTACTAAACCCCCGGATAGCTGTTCCTGTAGTTTGAAATTGTCATTGAAATTGAAAACAAGTCGTGAAACGATGCTGTGAGCAATTCCGAACTCTGCAGCCACACTTGTCACACTGCGGCCTTCCTCCAACTTCCCAATGATTCGACCTCGGGTAAAAGCATCCAGATGTCGTCTAACTGATTGATTATTCGCCATTTCTCGCTGAGGCAGCAACTCGGTATGATTTTAACTGCTATACGGCGTGCAATCTCTTTGCCAGAAATACTGATCTTACACCGACAACATACTTTATACTACTCAGGCGCTCCCCCATTACGTCTACCTGCATATCTGCGCATGCGCTACCGTACATCACCTTACTTAATCTCCTGATTGGTCTTTCTGTCCGCTCTGCCTCTTTGTTCAGCTGATATGCTAATTTTTCGACTTCGTCCTTAATTTTTGCACACCAGTGTATTATTTTAAACGCATTTTGTGCAGATTTTTCGTTAAGCTGCACAGATGCGGCAGTTTTTCTCACACTAAAAAACTTTCGATACATGTAATTTGAACTTATTTCTGTTATTTAGGTTCTAGCTCGTCGTAACTTTATCAACTGTTGATGTATTCGATCTTACGAAATGCGGGTCGTTTTTACACCTCGTTTCCTTTTCTGTCTATCTTGGCAACTGCGGTGAAGGCGGTTAACATTTGAGGTGGCCCAAGGGCTTTACAAGGTAACTGAGGCGGACGCGTCACACTCTGTTCATTGTTCGTCAGTTTATTATAATCAATTAGATTCTTTCTTTAGGATCGAGAATCACACTGAGCAGTGTAATACGAATTTTCAAAACCATGGAAAACGAGAGAGCGGAATTTAAATTAAAAATTCTAAAATTCGTTTATGCTAATGATGTCCAACATGCCAATAGATAATTGGGTGTCAGCCTACTTCGATCTACTTCGATTCGATATTGGAGAAAACAAAAAGATCTGCCGGAGAAGATATTTTTTGTAATCAGCTTAAAATATTCTAGTGAAGTAAAACTAGTTTCTTTTTAATAGTTTTAGCTAATTGTACAATCAGATTCCATCTTCATTAATTAATATAAAAAGAGAGTTAATTGTATTTAAATATCAAAATGATAAATATAAAAACTGATATAGAAAGCAATTATATAACATTTGAGAATTAAATAAAAAAAGCATAAATTTGAATTTGCAAGAAAATTAGTTTTATTATGTCATTTATAAAATCGAAAATCCTTTAGGATTTTTTCAGTTAGTTAATAAAAACGATTATCCAAAACATAGCTTTCGAGACCGTAGTAAGTAATGGAAGGACATAAATAATAGCTCATCGTTTTGAGGAAGAAGAAAATACATCTATTCTAATTCTTAGCATACCAAATTTTCTCTCTGCATGACATAAAGAGATCTCCAGCACATCGTGGAAGCACTGAAATGCAGGAGTTCATCCATTTTCACATCCTCGAAATCAAGGAATATCCATCGAAAGAAACAGGGCATTGGCAGTGTTTCCTTAATTTTGTAGGCCTGTGGAATTATCATTAATTACTATACCAGTACATGTAAAAATTTAAACTACTAAACAATTATATATAATGCTATATTAAGTTTTAAACTCTTTTCTGAAAATATCTGCATGATCTTTAAAAGCGGACTGTTCTTAGAATTACAAAGAGTATACATTTATAAAACGTAACCTGCCTACATTGTATCAGCACATTCAGAGCGACATTATGAAGCGCATTCTTAGTTACACCTCTGGATGGAAGGAATGATGTTCATTTCCAACTAAGGTGTGTTCTTATTTAATAACACGGTTTGTTTTACAATCTCCGTAAAATTACGTACTGGTAAGAAGTGGAGATGTCGATGAGCAAAATCGTTAGCTAGGATTCTGTGTCTAATAAATTTCTCCAGTACCTTCATATGGAATCTACTAAATGCTACTTTTCGTCATCTTGCTATACCCGGGAGCGATGTTGATTCTCCTACATTAAAGAAATGAACTGCTAAGCAATATCTTGGTAGGTTTAAATATCTAAGGTCATCTCAGAAAACAGAGCCAGAAGATTCATTATCTTCACATGTCATATCAGGCAATGTTTGTTTCAAAATGCAGAGGAGACGACGCGATAAACAGAATCAAATTTTCAAAGCGCTATGTTCTATAATTACATTTATAAAACGTAACCTGCCTACATTGTATCAGCACATTCAGAGCGACATTATGAAGCGCATTCTTAGTTACACCTCTGGATGGAAGGAATGATGTTCATTTCCAACTAAGGTGTGTTCTTATTTAATAACACGGTTTGTTTTACAATCTCCGTAAAATTACGTACTGGTAAGAAGTGGAGATGTCGATGAGCAAAATCGTTAGCTAGGATTCTGTGTCTAATAAATTTCTCCAGTACCTTCATATGGAATCTACTAAATGCTACTTTTCGTCATCTTGCTATACCCGGGAGCGATGTTGATTCTCCTACATTAAAGAAATGAACTGCTAAGCAATATCTTGGTAGGTTTAAATATCTAAGGTCATCTCAGAAAACAGAGCCAGAAGATTCATTATCTTCACATGTCATATCAGGCAATGTTTGTTTCAAAATGCAGAGGAGACGACGCGATAAACAGAATCAAATTTTCAAAGCGCTATGTTCTATAATTTTGGAGATATCTATTTTCAGAAAACCATAGGTGGTTTTTAAAAGACACCTGATTTTAAACGGAAGTCCTGCAACGGATGATATTTTTATGAAACATTAGTCGTAGCGTGATACACAATACGGCAACGTTCAACGTCTGCTCCACATAGAAAGATTTATCAAGTCCTTTTCTATTTCTGAAGTATTTATGCTCTTTAATTTCAAACTGGTTTATCAACTTATCACACATATTGGAGTAACAGAAGAATCGAAAACTCCTGCAAACAAAATAGGCGTAAAATTCTATTTCATTTGTAAGCAAAACTTAATTATTTATTCCGAAGTCAGGAGGTAAAGTGTCACTGTGGTGGTTATTGAAAATTGCTGGTGAGTCAATGTACATGTATGTGACCTTAAACAAGACTTTCATCCTCATAAGAATTATTTTTAGGTGAAATAGAAGCACGCAAAATTCGCCCACTTGGAAATCCTGTTCTGTGTTCATGACAAGAAACGAGAAATGTTACGCTCTAGAATATCGTTCAGTGTGGGGTTTCAATGAATGAATATCTTGGGGTTTCAATGAATATCTTGCTGTCTGTCTTTTTACGAAAGCTGCCATACAGTTAAAGATACATGTATTAATCTACTATACGTGATTCTTCATAAACTTAAAATTGTTAATTTCGACACAAATAACTTAATGGAATGAAGACGTATTTTGTTAAAATGCATGGAGATCCCGAGATTCTGAATGCATTGATTTAGCGTTTCCAAATCTTGTTTACTAACTTGTAGAGTTCTTCACTTTGTAAATGCTAAGTTGCTGTTGAACGTGAAGAACCTTAAGAACTAGTAAGCGAATAATCGCTTGAGTTCGTGCAACAAGAAACAACAAGATGGAAGGGTAAATAACCCTTTATTATTCAGATAAGATTTAACAGCATTTTGGAGTGTACAATAAAAGCCGACACTTGGGCTTGAACTTAAGAGGCTAAGAAGTAAACTATAAGTAATCTAAACTACGAGATGTAGCCGAAGCTATCAAGATTCTAACCGAGTTGGCCCTTAACGCTAATTGACTGCGAAGCTATCAAGGGACTGAGTACGGCCGAGCGTATTAACAGTTTTGAGAGTGAGTAGCCAAAAGGCGGACGCGCGCTAATCAGAAACTCTGATTCTCTCTAACTCAGCAAGCAGAACTTCGCGGTTAAATACCGCTCTTCCTCATTATGTATTCAGACGTGATTCCAAACTTACGTTCTGACCGGAAGTAGTAAGTTAAGAATTTTACAGGAAAGGAACTTAAAATTTAACTGTTAATAAAATTAACATAATTCTTACAAACTTTTGTTCTTATTTAAAGCTGAGCATTTTTTATCAAAGCATTCTGTGCTTTATTCCCAGAAAGAACTTTAATTTCCTCTATTATCATGTGCCATAGCCATTTTGTGTAAAGTAGTGATTCGGGAACGCTAACTACGCACCACTTGGCCCCCATTCTACTCTTAGATAAAGTAAGGGTTACATTACGAGTGCATTTGAGGAATGGAAGGATTTAAAATCAGTCGATGGCAAAGGAAGATGGATAATAGATCTCCGGAATATTTTGCACTTGCATAATTAGATAAATTTTTAAAGCTACATTCCAGACCATATTTTTCTAATGAACTTCATTTTTTCATAATCTAATTCCAGTATTATTCATAGCAAATTATAATTTCTACACGGTTAAGACATATAAGCTTCACTGCTTTCCGTTAAAACTGCAATAGCAGAAAAGGAGAAAAGACAGTTTCTTATCATACAAAGATAAAGTCATTAAAATTTCAGGTACGTCGGACAAGCAGGAAGGGAGGTATTTTGGGATTCTAAGCAAATTCAGTGCCATAATTCATTTGTTGCAGTCTTTGTGATACTGGTCACGACAGTTTTAACGATACTGCAGGGGGTATTTTAATTTTCTAATAGTTATTTTAATTTTGAAACCCTTTCCTTTAAATGCTTATCTTCCACCTCCAACTCCCTACCAGAATGAGTTCTTAGTACTGCGTTTTATGTAAATGAAGTAGAACCAGTATTTAATGGGAAGTTCAGTCATTTCCGCGGAAGAGCTCAGAAGTTCTCAGCAGAACGTTTTCTACCTTTTGGGCCACGACGTTACTTTAAGATTATCGTACGACGTTCGGCTGTAGTCTTAAGTGCCTGTTAGTATTCGCTGGTGAGATTTAATTACGGGACAACTCGATTAGTTATTCCTGTACAACAGCGGTGCCCAACCTTGTGCTCGCCAGCCCGATTAGGTACTATGAAACAAAAAATGTTAAAAAAAATAACCATTCATTTATATTTCTTAATTGTTAAAATATGATAAGCATTTATAGTCATAAGAGATATCTTGCAAGACGTTATAAAATAATAAATTGCTGACTGAGGAACCTGATAGGTATAGGTATAGGTAACGGGGCGCACGGGCACTGTCTCTTTACCATAATGGTTAATCGGTATTGCACCGTGCCCACCACTGTCTAGAGCAAATGTGTAGGAGCCACATTTGCGCCCAACACCAAAAGCCGAGGCCCAACGCTCGGGCCATCCAGAGGGCAGTCAAACTGACCAAAAGCGCCTTCCACCAACGCTCACCCAACCGTCCAGGCATTAGTACATATGATAGCAAATACTGAGATTCTCTGACGGTTATAATACAATGTGCAATTGGTACATAATGAAATTGCAATTATAAATATACTGCATAATACAAGTCCAATAGTACAATATCAATGTAAAAAGTAAGATATAATTACAAATGCAAATATTTCGTGAACCATAAGTGCAAAATAATAGTAAGTTAAAGGACTACTGCTTCAAATATTAGTACATATGATAACAATACTGAAATTCTCTGACAATTATAATACAACGATCAATTGGTACATAATGAGATTGTAAATATAAATAGACTATATAATACAATACAAGTCCAACAGTACAATATAATGCAAACACGAGTATGTAATTACAAATGTTAATATTTCATGAACCATCAGTGCAAAACAATACTAAGTTAAAGGACTATGGATATCAATGCAAAACATAAAGTGTTAAAGAGTAGTGATATACAATGTTAGATATAGATATACTATACAAAAGAAAGTCATATTCGTACAACAGAATGGTATTGCAATTTAAATACCAACAGTATTAAAATATAATTATAATAATAAACTCAAATAAAAATCCGAACATATGACCAATACAAAAGCAAAATGTTATTCTTAAAATATCTATGCAATGCATATTCAAATACAGTCAGTAGATATATACTGATATAATTATACATGCATAACAAGTTAAAGACATATCGAGAAAACAACCCAATACAATCGATAAGATCTATACAATACAAATTCAAATACTAAAATAATCCAGATATTAATAGAAAAGTAAATGCATATATCTCAATGGTACTTCTAACAAGATAAATAAAATATATATATATATAAGAATGTTTATATATATATACATGTATACACAAACACTATGGAATCTTATTGCTTCATTCCGATGTTAGATAGCTCAGCAGGGGAAAAGTACTTCAACCATTTGTAGAACTTCTTACGCCAATAAAGCAGTTTTTGGAATCCGGAAACGAAAGCTATAAAGAACTGGACGAAAATAATTGGTTATCCGATCTCTATTTTCTGACGGATATAACAGCTAAACTGAACAAACTGAACGAAGATCTTCAGGGAAAAGAGAAAAAACTCTTTTTCAATTGACTGGGACTGTAACTGCTTTTCAGATAAAGTTTAAATGTGTGGATAAATCAGATAAAAGGAAAACAAAATCACCCATTTTCAGAATTTATTAAGCCATATTAATAACCACAATGCAATTGAAACAGAGAAATGCTCGGCAAACCTAAATGCACTGAAAAACAAATTTTGAACTCCGCTCCTCTTCTTTGAAGTGAGAGGGCTTTAAATGAATTTCGCAGGGTAAAACACAGAAATAAATTTCGTACAAAATTTGGAATTAAAGTATTATAACTTAAATTTTGATAATTAAAATGGTAACCAATTTTTAATCTAATGTTGTTTTATGCGTGGATATTTAGTAAAAATAGCCAATAGGTTGTGCAAATGGCAAAATGTATACATTTTTAAATATTTCTATTGAGAAAACGAATAATCATTGTAAGATGTAGTAATGGTACTAAAGGTTTTCAATTTTTGTTTAGATGGTACGCCTTAGGCAAGAGGTTGAGAACCGCTGAACTAGAACTTTATAATACCGTTTAGCACAGCGGGTTGAATTGAGAACAGATGTGAATACAAATACACCATCAAGGTATAACCTTTATCTGCTGCATGTTGAAGAAAACGAATGGAACTCTGCACTTCAAGGCAAAAGAGCGTAATTAATCATGATTAGTTAGCGAGACCTTGCGGAACTGTCCAGAAACAGCATTGCTGCAAGAGTAGGTTTGACTGTCGTAAGGAGTCATAAACTGTATAATTTCTACGTTCCAGTATAAAGGTACATTGATAAAGCTGTGTAACTGTTCCTTATTATTCTCCATTTATGTTCATATTGCAACATGTGAATTAGATAGTCCTGCAGTAGTGAGCCTTATGCATGATCAAGCGTGTATGCCATAACTGTTGCATTGTACATTTTTTGTATTATATCAACCTAAGTTTAGTCCAAAATTCAATTAAATTTGTTCATCATTTCTTTAGCTTATCAGGACTTGTGTTCCTCTTAACTTGCTTTGGAAACATGAACTGTCCTGACTCGGAACAGGGAGCTTACTCAAGCTATGTTCAATAAATTGTGAAGTAGACAATACAAGCAGGAAGGGTATACGAAACCCTTTATTTTTCTATCTTTACAGAGATTTCCGGAACTTCGGAATACAGAGACCAACCACTTGTGATCTGAATGTAAGAATATAAAACTATTAACTAAAACTCTAACTAAAACTAACTTTGGATTAATATACAAGTGCCTAGCTTTAAGATTGGCCGTTATTTAACAAAATCCGTACGTAGTACAGAGAGCTGCTAAAACTACGATATGTTTGAACTTATCAAGAGGACTAAACCTCTGGCCTTGAAGGCAACCAGCAACCGAGTAAAAACTACTATGGCAAGCGGCTTGCAATAACTCTTTCCTCTCTCTTGCTTGGCAAAAAGCCACAACTTAAGTACTTGGCGTTAGCAAGACAAATTTGCATAAATAAGTTAAAGCTTTTAATTCTGGCCGGAAGTAGAAAATAAGAAGTGACAGTAAAGATTTAAAATAAAATAAACGTTAGTAAAACTTAGGATCCTTACAAGCTAATCTACCATCTATGAAAATTCCCTTAATTCTGAACACCAGTATACTTTGGGATCTCTATTTAGCTGATAATTATAGTATTAATGTAAGAAATTACAAGATTATTGCTTATATATTTAAATTAAATTATATGATTCATATTTTTAACAGTGTTTTTCAGCACAGAAAATACTGTCTTAGTAAATCATATTTTATATTAATTTTTACTTGAAATGTTAACTAGAGTACTTACGTTCCGGAACATAACATTTGTACTCTTAGCATCTAAGCTGAAAACTAAAGTTCGTTGTTTGCCGCTGGTGAGTACTTTAACGAAGTTGTCATATTGTTGATCTTCATCCATGCCATCGTACCATTTGAAGACTGACACCGGTATATTATTTCGATACAACTGAAGAACATAATCATAAACAGATGTGTCTGCAAACAAAGCGATGAATTATTGAAAAATAATCTGTCTTCTTCAACGCCATTTGATGTATTAATTTCTGGAATGACATTTCAGAGAGGGAATAAAAAGTAAGAAATTCTCAGGAAACTAATGTATGATATGTCACGAAGATGCTTTAAATAAACGATTAAATGAATTTCTTTATTATATTCTTTTATCTCATGATAATAGAACTCTGAAACATTATATAGTATATCATACAAAAAGAATATATTCACAAAATGCATCAAAAACAACTTTTCAACATTGTACTATTAACTTTACTGTAAAATAATGTACTGCCAAATTCTTTCATTTCTGTTCTAAAATCAGGTGTCGACAAATTTTTTATTTACTACTGTACAGTGAGATAAGAGGATACGAAGATACATACAGAAAATGATGTTGTTTTAATTTTTACGGGCAGAGAAAAAGTGATGATTCACTGGTGATGGATACAGAACGATGTACTAGCACTACTTTTATATAATAATTCTTAATAATCCAGCTCTTTGCAGAGTCCCCGAAGGGCGTGAAGAAAGTGAGAGGTCTTTAAATGGATTTTTCAGGGGAAATCACAGAAATAAATTTCATACACAATTTTGGAATTAAAGTATTATAACTTAAATTTTGATAATTAAAATGGTAACCAATTTTTAATCTAATGTTCTTTTATGCGTGCATATTTAGTACAAATAGCCAATAGGTTGTACAAATGGCAAAATGTATATATTTTTTATACAGAACAGTTTAAAAAATAGCGATAAATACTTCTTCATTTTTTCAGCAGAGACTAAATCTAATACTGATTTAAAATTAGCTAACTAAATCTTTAATTTTTATAGTTCATAGAAGATCTGATAAGTTTAGAATTAGTTTTCGATTTCGGATATAAGATAAAATCTAGACTGTAAAATTGTAAGTATAATAATTATATTCTGAATAAGAAACTCTGTTTTAAAGAATTCAACTCTGAATTTTAATAACTTCCTACATGATAATTAAATTAAAAATAATATTAGAATTGGATTTAATTTCACTAAAACAATGCAGTCAGGAAAAATTTTAAAACAAAGTCCGGTTTATCATTAATGATAATGATGGGACTGCTTTTCTTGTCAAAAACACTTTAATTATCTTATTTTAAAAACGTTAATTTAATTAAAGTTAGTTTTTTTTATTCTATCAGTTGAAGCACCATTTTAATTTTTCCATTACGCGTATTTTCTTGAAGATACAAACAGAATTGTCTGTACCACATTACCTCTTCTTGAGAAATAAGAAAAAGATTATAAGGTATTTTCTCCCTCCTTTCCGCATGCGTCTGTGGTGTAGATGCAAGCATACCTGACGTGTATTCTGGAGATCAGGAGTTCGAATCCCGGGGGGGGGCGCTCATTTTTCCCGTCTCCAGCATCAAAAATCCTAATGACTCTACATTAGCCGAATTAAAAGATGGTAAACAATATTTCGTCATTACCAGGATTTGGCAATTGGGTCCCGTTACCTTTAGCTGCCCTCTAAAGGAGAGGGGAGTATATAAGGTATTTTCTCACTTCTTTCCACATCCTTCGTGGTGTTACTGGGAGCACATTCGACGCGTAATCGGGAGGTCTTTTGCTCGAATCCCGGCGAGGACATTGCTCCTTTTTCCCGTCTCCAGCATCAAGATGCTGTACAAGATGAAAAATATAATTTATATATATTTTAAATGAACAAAAGAAATTAACGATGTTCCATAGTCTGCATTTTCCTACTTTGTATTTAAAATGCTGATTCAATCCCGAATAAAAGGTTAGAAAAAGTTCTAAGGTATTTCTTCCTCTTTCCTAGCGTGCCTTTGTGGTGTAGTGGTTCTGCACGCGAGGCCGTGGTTCTATTCCAGAGGTCCGTGGTTCAATTCCCGGCAAAGGCGGTTGCTAATTTTTCACCTCTCCGGCTTTCCAAATTAACTTGAAGTATCTACAAACTGTTCAATTTGTTGACAGTTCATAATCCACATCAAGAATATTAAACCCGAAGCAAAGAGATAAAACATCTATTTTTCTATGTCCATAAACCCTCATACTAATAATCCATCTTTACTCTAATCCAGGGCTTCTCAACCGGTGGTACGCAAAGAAGCTAGATATTTTTAACTATGAAATTCAAAAATTAAAACCCGAACATCCTGATCTGAGTTTTTCTCTAACACTCGTACATTTCTGCGATCTGAGCTTTGTTCAAGAGTGGTGGTGGTGGTAGTAGTACTTTGTAGTGGTGGTACTAAAGGTTTTCAATTTTTGTTTAGATGGTGCGCGTTAGTCAAAAGGTTGAGAACCACTGCTGTAATCCATATTTCATGGCTTGAATATATATTATGTGTAGCAGTGAATATTGGGAGTATACCTAAAATCCGTAACCACTGCTAGAGATTTCTTCTATGTTTTTAGCTAAAATCTCCAGTATAGTTTTCAGGTATAGTTTTCTTTCAAGCATTAACAAAAGTTCATGCACAAAGATATATGCTTTTTTCGTCAATACGATCTAACTTAATAAAGTTGAAAAGCAAGAAAGAAATTTAAGGTCTGAGGAATAGGTTAAAATTCGCATAAACATGTATTTTTTTTTAAAATAAACAGAACGTTTAAGAAACGATTTCTGTACATACAGAAAATATGGGAATTTGCTGATGAATTATATTGCAGATTATATCAGCAAACGTTAAATGTTTCTTGTGATAATCATGATGCTGAACTGACCGTTGTCAACAGAGTGGAATAACCACGAGCATATTAAACCTCTAAAGGAGTGTATCGATACAGAGGTAATACATCTCCTTTCCTACCCCCCC